CATTCATTTTCGTTTTCAGAGAAAACGCAATGGAAAACTAAACAGTACTACTGCTTTCTTCTACAATAATTTACCTAGTAGTGACATTCAGTCATTGTGGGTTTTTCTCCCCCACACTCAGTGGTGTTATAGAAGCCTTTTTTATGCCAGTTCAGAACTCTGGGCGAAAGCTAAACACATGTTCTATCGTTAAAATGATATTGTTGTTTAACATGTTCTTTTTTGTAGCAGAAAGAAACACGGGCGATAACTCGCATAATGCATTTACTAGGAACAATCTAGAGAGTTCCGAATGTAAACATGGAGGCAATTTGAATCGAGAGAAAAACGTTGAGACAATGAATTGGATTTTCCTATTTATATGGATTATTTTTTTGGGATAAAAGGCATAAGCAATCTCAAGAAGGTTTGTTTTTGATTATTTTGGTAGTTATTTTCAGTGCAAATCATTTTATATTCTTCAAAATCGTTTTGCGATTTAATTTTTTGCTACATTGCGAGTATATGGGTGGTATTCTAACTGTGGTGAGGGCCTGTACCGAGACACAGTTAGATTATTCTAACTAGGCGAAAGCTAAACACATTTCTTGGTTTTTCGTTATTTTGTTTCATGTTCTTTTTTTTTAAATAATTTTCCTCATTTTTCAAATGAACAGTGTTCAACCAGTGGTTAACCGTTAATGTCATTTGTAAATATGAAGTTGATACTTAAAAGAGAAAAATTATTTATTTTCAGGATTTGAAAAGCCATCAGCCATCCAGCAAAGATCAATAAAACCAATAATAAAAGGAAGAGATGTCATTGCACAGTAAGTAATTTAGTAGATTGATACAAAATTTGACAGAAGATATAATTACAGTTAAACTTCGTTATCTTGAACCTAATGGGACTGAGAAAAAACTTCAAGATATCTGAGGATTCGAGATATCAAAGGTTGAATGCTTAAAGAATATGTGGTTGGGACTTCCAAATCACTTCAACATATCCATGGTATTCAAGATATCAGAATTTGAGATACCGAAGTTCAACTGTATGCCAGAGCATGAATAGAAATCTGGTTTCAACAAATATGTTTTTCTTAATCTATGTGTACATTATTGATTTTTTAATCTAAAGAGTAATAACATTTATTAATAAAATTATGAATCCAGGGCCCAGTCGGGAACAGGAAAGACAGCCACCTTTTCCATCTCCATTCTACAATGTCTGGACACACAGATAAGGGAGACACAAGCACTTGTTCTCTCCCCAACCAGAGAGTTGGCAGTTCAAATTCAGAAGGTATCAAATTTTAATCCATATTTTAAAAAATAATGTATACACATTTGTACATCTCCCCTAGCCAAGAGTTTACCCAAGGTCTACTCTTAGTCTCCTCTGCTCCTGTCGTGGGGAAAAGAGAAGACCAAAAATCTTGGATAGTGAAGATGAAACAATGACTTCTTGCTCAATAAGTTAATAATTAACATTAAATCACAAATTGAAATCAGTACTTTAATAACATAAGCATAGTCTTCAAGTCTTTTATCGCATCATTAATAAAAAAAACTTTTGTTTAAAACAATTTAATATTTTCCTTTGTTATAGGTGATCCTTGCCCTCGGAGATTACATGAGTGTGCAGTGTCATGCCTGTATTGGTGGTACAAACATCGGAGAGGACATCAGGAAGCTGGACTATGGACAACATGTTGTTTCTGGAACCCCAGGAAGAGTGTTTGGTAAACACTGAGTTTTCTGATGTTCAGAACAGTGTCCAAGGCTTTTTTTTCTTCAAGTTTTCAGAGTCAGACCTTTTCTTCCAAAAAATTTCTGATGCACAGAATAAATACACTGCATTATTATAAACATTACTTATAAGTAATAAAGGTGATTTTTTTTTTTTTTTAAAGTCTGTTTTAAGAGAGTATACTAATGATGTCCTTTCTATAACATATCGTACATTTCAGATATGATCAGAAGAAGAAATCTCCGAACAAGATCCATAAAAATGCTTGTTTTTGATGAAGCAGATGAAATGTTAAATAAAGGTGGGTTGCCTTATTTTAATGAGAATAAATGAATCCCAAATAAACTTGCAAGTATGAACTGAACCATGTGTAAAATTTTATTCATGTAAAATCAGTTTAAAAATGCTAGACATGATCAAAAAATTATTAAAGAATGTTTTTGACTGCATCTTTTCATTCAAGATAAAATAGCAGATCTGTTTTGATTGAACTGTTCTTACAGCAATTTTACAAATTTTATTCTTACAAACAGGGTTTAAAGAGCAGATATATGATGTGTACAGATACCTCCCTCCAGCCACGCAAGTCGTCCTCATCTCTGCTACACTCCCACATGAGATTCTGGAGATGACAAACAAATTCATGACAGACCCCATCAGAATCTTGGTCAAGCGGTCAGTTGTTTGATTTCAAATACAAAAAGGCTTTCAAAATCTTGAGTTATGAACATTTTGATACAAGGGACTTTCATCATATTAGACAAGATTTTGGATTACACCCATCTGGATTAGATAAATTTCACTGTATATTCCATTTTATTGAAGGCTTATTTTTCTGTTTATTGTGTACCAAGTCTAGATTCAAATCAACTTAATACTTTCACATGTAATGAATCTGTGACAGTGCTACATGTATTTCAAGGAAATTGTTAGTCCTTGGCTTATAAATCTACTTGCATACTCACAAATAATTATGCACAAAGCAGTATGTATTGATTTTTATGAAATCTTTTTTAAATACATGTATTTAAAAATGAATAATAATATTTTTTTTTTGTAAATTCCAGTGATGAGTTGACTTTGGAGGGAATCAAACAGTTCTTTGTGGCTGTGGAGAGAGAAGAATGGAAGTTTGATACATTGTGTGACCTCTATGATACCCTAACCATCACACAGGCAGTCATATTTTGCAACACAAAGAGAAAGGTATCTTATGATGGCATTGATTAAAAAAAATTAATCTTAAGTCAGCATTATTTGTTTGTTGGGAAAGGGAGACTTCCTCACAAATGTAATACTTCATTATGATTACCTACAGTGTCTAAAAAACAACTTATTTTATAGAAATCTTCATCTTTACATAAATGAAGTTTTCTCTCGATGAAACATACATGTGTAAGTTTGGCAATTGATTTGAAACCATCTGTGTATGTCTGACAGGTTGATTGGTTAACAGAGAAGATGAGGGAGGCCAATTTCACCGTGTCCTCCATGCACGGTGACATGGTACAGAAGGAAAGGGATGCCATCATGAAAGAATTCCGATCAGGGGCCAGGTAACAATAATGTAACCTTGTTCCTGTCAATCAGTAATCAAGATTGTTAAAATTGCTAAATTGATTCTGAAGTACAGTTGTATGTACATGTACATGTATTTTGCTAATTTCAGTCGAGTGTTAATTACAACAGATGTGTGGGCCAGAGGTATTGATGTACAGCAAGTGTCTCTTGTCATCAACTATGACCTCCCAAACAACAGAGAATTGTACATCCACAGGTAAGCCATAATTATCAGTGACCTTCAGAATGGGCATAGCTGATAGATTTTATGTGATGTTGCATTTTTCTTCAGTTCAAATGATGTTAAACTATGACTGTCACACTACATCAAGTTTAAGGGCTCTGATGATTTCACATTTACCTTATTTCTTAATGGAGTTTGATGAAAATACAGATCCCTAATCTGAGCCTTTAAATAAATTGTTGCTCAAGAAGCTGTGTATGACCGTTGAAACATTTTAATTTGATTTTTTCCTGCTTTGTAGAATTGGTCGATCAGGTAGATTTGGACGCAAGGGTGTGGCCATTAACTTTGTCAAAAATGATGACATCAGAATCCTGAGAGACATTGAACAGTACTATGCCACACAGATTGATGAAATGCCAATGAACGGTTAGTTTCTACAAGGACTTAACTAAAAAAATATCACTGTAAGATCACATATTATCGTGGTTTGAGAAAAAATATGGGTTTGTGGGGATTTCATTTTCTGAATGAAGAATTGTTGAGTTGTGATATGCAAGCAATTACACATCTTCCCAAGTCAAGAGTTTCTGATCCTTTCCACTCCACATAAACCCTTGACCTAATAGGCTAAGTTTGACGGGGTTAGAAATGCGTTCTCTGATTGGCCTCAAGCAAGTTTGCATGAACTAATCAAAATCATTGTTTTATTTAAACTGCAACTTAATCATAAACTGAAAAACACGTCAGTTTTAATCCCAAGAATACCGTCTTTATCATTAAATAGCCAAGTTAAAGGTTTGTATATTGAATTTATTACCGACTACCAATATTATCTCAAATTCTCTGTTGAATTCGTTTACTCTGAGTGGCTAATAGCAGAGGTCAGTAGAGTTCAAAATGTGTAATCTCACTAGATGGTGTGACAGTAAACCCCGCCAAACGTATCCTATTTGGTCAAGGGTTTATGTGGAGCAGAGCGGATCAGAAACTCTTGACTTGGGAAGATGGCAATTACATTTCATGGAAATAAATTTGTGGGTCTCTTCATACCTTGAAAACCAAGAAAATTAAACCCCCCACGAAAATTAGTGATTTCACAGTATATAAAATAGTAGATATTTTAAGAACTTTTTAATTTAAAATGCAACTAACACACTCTTTTTACTGAATGATTTTCTGTCTTTTACAGTGGCAGATTTGATCTAATCCTCTGAATGCAGTGAAAAGGGAGGATCTAATCTGCTGTATTGGGCAGATCCAATCAGTTCTATGGTGAGGATACCAACACACATTGGTAACATCAGAGGAGATGGTGTTATACAAGAGGACATAACCATTGACACTTTTAATTGTGACATAAACTGTGCATTATTTTTTGGGTTTTCATCTAAGACAAACTTCATCAATCATGAATATTTTGTAGCATAGTTTGTCCATTTCAGTGTCATGTAAACGTGTACATTTGTAAATCCAAGTCTGTTTTAATTTTTTTATTGCATAAACATTTAAGACGCTTTGTAGTTCTTATATGGTCTTTATATTGATCTTTCAATAGCTGCATTATATTGTTATAATGTGATACATGTATATTCATATATTACATCAACAATGGTTGCCTTCAGGATATTGGCATTTGCAGTAGTTCATCCAAAATTTGCATTGAAAAGCTTGGTCTGTGATTGCCAATATTTGAAAATCAAATCTCACTTTCCTACAGCAATGTGTTAGCAAGTTGTTTGGCATACCGATGTGATGTTTTAGAATATTATTTCAAATTGACAATTTTACTGTTGGCAGTATTGGACAATTTGATCTTCAATGTCTTTCATATTTTGCAAGACATGTGCTAATCTGTTTTCGTCCATTTCAAATTGCACAACATCAGCTTTCTGAAAGGAAAAATTCAATACTGCATGCTGTAAAAAATTTTTTAATAAAAAGATTTTTTAGTATTCAATTACATGTAAGTGATAAATTATAATTTACAAGAATATGGCAGATATTTAAAAATACCTGTGATTCCTGAGGATTTTCTATTTGGAGTTCCACTATAGCTGTTGGCTCGTTCATATTTTCTGTATTCTTAGCTTGTGACTTGACATCAATCCGCCATGACACTTTTTTCAGGGTATTGTTCCAATTTGTCTTTGAGACTAAAGTGTCATGAATTTTATTTTTATGTATTTTCCAGAATTTTCTGTATGCACTAGCCTCTTCTTCTGACATTGCTGCCTCCCTCCTCTTCATTTGTGAGGTTAAGAATGCTTCTAATTGATTGAAATCCATATCAGCTGATACTATACTCTGAAAATGCGGAAGAAAGTTTTGTATCATTGTTAAATGCCGCATATTTATGATGGCTCTATAAACAATGCATTAAAAGTCCCAATGATTCAGTACATTCACCACTAAACATGATAAAATGTTCTTACGGATACTCATGGTAAAGTAATTTTGCAAACAAAATTTTCAAAGGCACTTTTTTTTATACTTTTAGGAACTTTGAGCAAAAAGAAAAGCAACAAAGATAAAATATTGGGAAATTGGCCTGAATTTTGAAGGAGCAAACTTGTTTCAGGGTCATAGAAATATAAAATAATTCTTGAATTTCCCCTCCACTGGGTCATTTCTTTCTCCATCATGACAGAGGTTCACAGTGAGATACTTTTGACTTCCGCAAATTAACAAGTGAGAGACTTGGTTAATATTCCCTATATATAACGCCCCTTATGCTTATATACCTTGATGTGACAAGTTCACAGCAAGTCGAGAGTATCTCACCACGAACCAGCAAAATTAGAGAGTGCAACCTGCCCATGTGTTTACAGATAAATGTTTTTTTGTTTTTTTTTAATATAAATAATGAAGAACTTGCATGTATGATTATATCTGGTCTTACACTGTCAGATCATCAAATACAAAATGGCATAAAATCATAATTTTTAAAAACTACTGTTATTTTGTTCTTCTGAATATTGACCTTCTTAAATGCAACAGGTAGATACAATTTATTGAATATAAAGGTGCTTGTGTATGTTTGTTGTGGACTACATCACAAACCTTCATGTAACTTGAACATCTTTTGAGTAGTGATGCATACTCTTCTTCAGCTACATCCGGAAATATTTGACTCTTTAAAAAATCATCTGTGTATTCAGATTCATTGTAGTAATTTCTTTTGGCTAATCCCGTTAACAAAGCTGATATGTTTTTCACACTGTCTGCCATTTTGATTGTCATGTGACTTTTCACCTACAGCAAAAGTTAATTTGTTCAATAATGAATTAAATTCGTTTAGAGTATAAGTTGAACTGAATGTTGTCCTTTTAAAAATATTATAAAAATGTTAATGTTTGAATGTTCAGAATATAAAATACCTCTTCTTTATCGATGCGAACATGTAAATGAACTTAAGTTTTTTTTACAACGAATACTTTGGCGTACAACCGCGCTGAGAAAAGCCGGTAAAGTTATGGCAAGGCACTTATACCGAAGAAGTGGCGAATTTGACAGTGTCACGAGTTTGCACAAGGAATCCAGCTCTGTAGATCAGGAACAAGATGCTAATACTGCTTTTCTTGAGTTGGAGAAAGGTTTTTAAATTCAAATTATAGCATTACATGTAACTGATGTGGCATTCATTATTGACTCTTAGCATTGGCCATAATTGGCTGTTTTTTTGTCATTGCTTTTTTACTACTAGATATATTACATTTTGCCTTTACAAGAGAGGAAAAAACAAGCATAAAAATGTTTTAATTATGAAGAATTATACACTTACACAAGAGAAGAAAATAAAAAAAAACCCATAATGTTATAGGTGTAAATAATTAAAACCTAAGGAATGTAGTTCACCAAAAGGGAAATTAAAACACATTAATTTTGCTTTCAGGATTGAGGTCAGCAAAGCTGGGAGTGCAATGTGAAGCAGTAGTAAAATTTCCAAGATTGTTTGAGAAGTACCCCTTTCCCATCATAATCAATTCTGCGTTTCTAAAGCTTGCCGATGTGTTTAGGGTTGCTGACGTATTTAAAGAAGGGTGAGTGATTTTTGCAATAAAAAAAGTATTGTAGTTTTGAAATAATCATCATTGAGAAGAATGGAGACAATTATATATTGATTGAATAGTCTCTTATTGTAAAAATTCTAAAAATTCTAAAAAAAAATCTTGCCTAATTGTGAAGATAAAATATCTTTTTTTGAGGAGATTTGCTTTTAAAGACAAAAGGTTTGTTTCAGTGTGTAGAATATGCAGATGTAAATTTTACAATTCATCTTTTTACTTCAGGAATAATTTATTGCGATGGTGCATTCTGAGGGTAATACAGCAGAGTGACAAACACCTGGACAAAGTGTTCAATGTAGACGAGTTTGTAAGGAGACTTTACACAGTCATACACAGTAATGACTCTGTGGCTCGGGCTCTTGCTATCAGGTAGGAAAGAAATTTATACAATATAAATAAATCTCTCATAAGCAACAATTATAAAAGTTTTATACTACCGGTACTATAAATGTTTAAAATGCCATTGTTATAACATAATTTTCATACATCACTACATGGTTTGCTACATGTACATATATTTGTGTATTTTGATATATCTCAGCTAATTTTCAAGTGAAATTTGATGAGTTTCCTGAGATTTCAGAAGTATTTATATTCCTCTAACTTTTTTCTATAGAACATTAGGCAGTATTGCCTGTATTATATCAGAGAGGAAGAATGCTCACCATAGTGTTGTCAATGGTTTGGATTCCCATGATGCAGTGGAAGTAGATGCAGCTATATTTGCTGCAGATAAATTTTCCGCAAAGTCCAAGTGAGTTTTCAGATGTTTAGCTTATATGTGCAAAATTTTTGGGTGAACTATTTTTATTACATCTGTGTGGTGTTTTTTTTATCTGTATTTTAATATTGTCATCTTCCTGTCCAGAACCAACAGACCACTTAAACTTAAACTACTTGTTATTGAAATAAAACGTTAGACCCTTCTGAAAGGGAGATGTTCAAAATATTGGTGAAACTAACATAGGGGGCTTATACTTTAAAGCCTTTTTCTTCTCAACAACCATTTAGGCTATTAAGTTCAAACTTTAAAGGAATGTCTTTTCATTAAGATTTTTAGGTCACCTGAGTAAACTCAGGTGACCTATTGCTATCTGTTTTTGTCCGTCGTCGTTCTTCGTGCGTCGTGTGTTAACATTTGAAGATTTTCAGCTTCTTCTCTGCAACCACTCAACCAATTTCCACCAAATTTTACACAAAGCATCTATTGGTGAAGGGGAACAAAAATTTTGAATTCCATGGTCCCTGCCCCCCTGGGGCCTGAGGGGTGGGGCCAAAACCACTAAAATTAGTGCAATCTTTAAAAATCTTCTTCTTTACTCCTGGACATCAAGCAGTCAAACTGTTAGCATGAATGGAATGACCATTGAGTCCTCTACCAAAATTGTGAAATTCATGGCCCCAGGGTCAGCGGTTCTAGTGCTAGGGTGGGGCTCTATTGATTATATAGTGAAAATGCATGAATTATTTCTTTAAAAATCTTCTTCTCTACTCCTGGGTATTAAATAAACTAACTAAGGAAATAGTTATGATGAGGAAGAATACCTTTTGCAAAATTGTGAATTTTATGGCCTCAGGGCCGGGGGTTCTAGTGCTAGGGCGGGGCTCTATTGATTAGTGAAAATGCATGATTTCTTTAAAAATCTTCTCTGCTCCTGGGTATTAAATAAACTGATTAAGGACATAGTTATGATGTCAGAGGAAGAATACCTTTTGCAAAATTGTGAATTTTATGGCCCCAGGGTCAGAGGTTCTGGTGTTAGGGCTGGGCTCTATTGATTATATAGCGAAAATGCAGATTTTGTTTGAAAATCTTCTTCTCTGCTGCTGGGTATTCAACAAACTAACTAATAATATGGTTATGATGAACAAGAATGCCTCTTCCAAAATTGTGAATTTTATGGCCCTAGGGTCAGGGGTTCTGGTGTTAGGGCGGGGCTCTATTGATTATATAGAGAAAATGCAGAAATTGTTTGAAAATCTTCTCTACTGCTGGGTATTCAACGAATTAACTTAGTATATAGTTATGATGAGCAAGAATGCTTCTTCCAAAATTTTGAATTTTATGGCCCCAGGGTCAGGGGTTCTGGTGTTAGGGTGGGGCTCTATTGGTTATATAGAGAAAATGCAGAAATTGTTTGAAAATCTTCTTCTCTGCTGCTGGGTATTAAATAAACTAATGTAGTATATAGTTATAATGAGCATGAATGCCTCTTCCAAAATTGTGAAATTTTATGGCCCCAGGGTAAGGGGGTTCTGGTCTTAGGGTGGGGCTCTATTGATTATAATTATAGTGAAAATACATTATTTCTTTAAAAATCTTTTTCCCTGTTCCTGGGTATTAAATAAACTAGCTAAGTACATAGTCATGATGAGGAAGAATGCTATTGTGAATTTTATGACCCAGGGTCAGGGGTTCTGTTGTTAGGGCGGGCTCTATTGGTTATATAGAGAAAATGCAGAAATTGTTCAAAAATCTTCTTCTCTGCTCCTGGGTATTAAGCAGATGAACTACCAATATAGCTATGATGAGCAAGGGCCATTCTTCCTGAATTGTGAATTTCAATGCCCCTGGGTAAGGGGTACCATGGGGGGGAGGGGCTCTACTTATATACTGAAAATGAATTGATTGAAATCTTCTCCTTTGTATTAATCAAATATTTTTGATAAGCAAGTTAGGGTGCCTTTTCCAAAATTTTGAAATGTGTGGACCAAGGGTCAGGGGTTCATGTGTGGTAGTGACACTATACCGATTATTGCTGAATATTACTGATTAGTCGAAATGCATTTTTTTGTTCCCCTACTGTGTCTATGGGTATTAAGTAACTAAACATGCTAAGTGTATAGTTATGATTAGCAATGGTGCCACTTTCAAAATTGTGAATGCCATGATGTCTAGTTTAAACAGTGTTAAAACATGAACCAAAGTCAATCGTTGTAAAGTTGTTGCATGATAATCAGGTGACCTATAAGGCCCATGGGCCTCTTGTTTAAATTAGTTTCCCAGATAATAAAAATTGGTACAATTTTAAATGAGTTGGATTTTGTTTTCAGGGTGTTTGCAGCCAATATTTGTAGTAAGATAGCTGAAATGATTGAGGATATTGCCACTCCTGTACACCTAAAACTTCAGCTGATCCCAATAATGAAGAATATGTATCATGACAGTTCTACAGCTGCCAAGGTAGGTTATTTATTTAAAAAGTGTTCTTGAGGACTCTTATTTTTACAAAGAATATGACATCTAGCAGTTTAGAGAGTATTGGGTCTCTTTGCTTTTAGTCTAGATTTCCTAAATATTCAGTCTTTTATTTATTTTGATCAAGTAAACAGTGGTATTTTCCTTCGCAAGAAGAATTAAGTACATTTACAACCAATCTTTTTATTCAACTTACACATGATGAACATTTTAGAAAGTTCTCATTTGACCGCATAATTATTTTGTACTGGTAGGTAAGCTCTTAAAACTTTTATGCTGAGATGCATACTAAAAGAAACGCATGCTTATTGTACACATCTACTGAAGGCTAATTTTGCATATATTCTGATTTCTTTTCAGGCAAGAGGCATTTGTCTTCATTTGCTATCCACTTTCCCAGCTGAAAAATTTGTGACTTTGAATTTGGAGACCTTGACCCATTTAGCGGTGAGATCACTAGGAGATGTACACAGCCAAATAGAACTTCTGATACATCATCTCAAAACTGATCCCAGAAACAGTGTAAAATTAGTGTCCCTAAGGAGCCTAAATCTACTGGCTAGGAAATCTCCCCAGCTCTGGAAATACAACTCTGTTGAGGTAGCTATGATTTATCAATTAAATTGATCGATTGAGTGAAAAAGAGGTAGAGAGTAATTTTCATCCCCTGCTCTTTTGGGTTCTGTAGGAATTACTGACCTTTGCTACTTCCTGTCCCTCCTTCCTGTTGAAGTGGGCGTGTCTCCAGGTGCTGACCTCCCTCTCCTCCTCGTTTGCTTTCCAGATGTTTCTCCACAGAGACAGTAAGATTTCTTATATTTATCTACAGTTTTTGCAATTTAAATGTGTATTCAAAATTGAAATAGATTTTATTTATTTATTATAGTGACAATAACAGATATTCAGAAAGTTCTGGAAGTGTGTAACATCTGCTATCAGACTCAGAATGCTGTCCTGTCCAGTAAAGCTATAGAATTTTACTCCAATGTAGCTGTTG